TTTTTCAAGGTGACAATACCATTTTTACAAGGTATACTACTTTAATGATTATTTTATTCCTGATTGATTCATTCAAGATTTTTAGTTGATTGTTTATTGATTTTGATATAGCTGAAGCAGTAACAATAGGACAATGGATGTCTATATCAACATTCCTTGACTCTATAGCCATTGGTAACATCATTCCTTCACCACTAGTAATGTTCTCAACATTTATAGGTTTTCAAGCTGGTTATCTTTGGGGCGGTCAAAGTGTAGGCTTTGGATTGCTAGGTGGAACACTCATAGCCATAGGAATACTTTTTCCATGCTTTGTATTTACGATACTAGGACATAATTTACTTGAGAAATTAGTTCGTAATCAATTCTTAGCGGCATTTTTTGATGGTATTTCTGGCACTGTAGTTGGAATTATTGCTGTAACTGCAATGGACCTACTCCGATCTTCAATAGCATCTCCTACAGGTCTTGTTAATGTATCATCGCAAGAGCTACCTGCTGTTCAAGCAAAAAATAGTAGTCTTGCTGCTGTGTTGTACGTTTTGACATTAGCTGTTTTATATGGATTTAAAAAACCTTATTTATCCTTTTGGTTGGTAATTTTTGGTGCTGTAGCTGGACAATTTTTATTTCTCAATCACTCGTAGTTTTACAATATATAAAATTAATTTCAATATTAAAGATTTTATGTAAAACTAATTTAATACTCATAATAAAGGTTCTTGGATTTAGAAATAGTAAAGTATGGCACAGTGCGAAAAGATATGTACCTCAGAATAAAATTCATAAAATTTTTTTTTACATATAAATCTTTTTTTTTTTAAAAAACAAATAAACTAGGTATTCGGAAATACAAAATATAAATTTTTTTTATAATTAATTGCTATCTTCTGAACTTTCACAATCCAGTTCATCATCAATAAATGAAATTTCTTCATCAAATTCTTGATAATTTTTTGCATATGAAAGAGCTCGTTTCCAAAGCCCAGTTATAGTATAAGAATTAATTTTTTCATTAACTCCGTATAGAAGCTTATCCCGAATACTTAAAAGACTTGAATG